CCCTGAGATAAGATTAATCAATTTTAACTAATAATCGACAAATATTGTAGCAATTGTCAGAAAAGATGAAGTTCACGAAGATGAACAATATAGCTGGAAATATTGAGCAAGTATTGAGGGAAATTAGACTGTTCTACATATCATACGTGATAAATAGTCAGTACCCAGTCACTTTTAAGGTTTTTATTGGTGCCGACGTTTCAACCCAAACATGGGGGTCATCATCAGGGCATGTTTCGAGCACTGATGAACTTGATCGTTGGCACTAATAAAAACCTTAAAAGTGACTGCGTCCTGACAATTTGTCACATATTGATTAATTATATTAAACAAATATAATAAGGATTCTTCTCAAATAAAAGGCCATTTGATCACAAATTTATTTATTTATTTTATATTTCTTAAGAGGATGTTTCAGCTAAAATATTAGCCAAAAGGACATCTTCAGAAATATAAAAATAAAAAAAAAAGAAATTGGTGATCAAATAGTTTTTTTAATTTAGAACAACATACAATCCACAGTATAGACCGTTTTATTTTATTTTTTTAAGTTATTAACATCTGTCTAAAACTTTGTGAATGGCTTCCTTATCATAACCCACAATTTTTTTATTCACGAAAAATTATCGGAAATGGGTCATTTTAAATCTGGAGATCAGTAAACTGTCTATTTAATCAGGTACTAAAAACTCATGAACAACCATTCCCTTTTCACTTGAAAGGTAAGATAATTTGTTCACAGAATCGAGAAAAAAAGTGGCCTACGATTATATTGGATCTATTAGCGTGAGCACCACTTCTAATATTTCAAAACACTGTTAGTCAACAGTATAGGTCAAGCAGTTCAATATTTTTGCAGACCACTTTTTTTCTTGATTTTTTTATAAAATTATCTTACGATTAAATTGGAAAGCAAATGAATATTCATGAGTTTTTAATATTTTATATTTATAAAATGACTCATTTCTGATAATTTTCGTAGACACAAAAGTTGTAGGTTATGATAAGATGAAACCGTTTACAAATTTTTAGACGGATGTTAATAATTTGATAAAAAAGGACCTGTACCGCATACTAATAATTTATTATTCCAAGATTAGGAAATATGTATAGAAATAAATACGGCTTTAATTTTTAGAAAATAAATTATGTAAAAAATATTACAGTAAAACTAACATAACGTTAGAAAAGTAAACTTAATAGTTTGTAATAGCCTTGATTTTACCTTTTTGTAGACACCCTATATGTAAAATAGAGTAATATGTAATCATTATTAGATTGAATATATCTTGGCTAAATTGAGATAAATTATTGCTTAGTCTATAAAGGTCCCTCTTCTGTTATTGGCATCTAATCATCAAATCACATTAAGGAGTTCATTTTTGTCAATATATCTCTAAAATACATTAATTTATTTCTATAAATTTTTATCTTAGAACTATAGAAATACCAATAGTCGGTTAACTGAGCCTCTGTTTCCTTTCGGAAATATTATTTATAGTAATACTAATTCGCAATAATTGACTAAATACTAACTACTTAGAAGAAATTTTCAATTATTCATCAATATGTTTTAAACATTAGTTCGAAAGAACATTGCTTCAAGGAATAGTTCTTAAAGGCGGGTTTACGCAAAATGATTTACTGCCTATTTTATAGTACTTGACAAATCATATAATTTTTTTTTTTTTAATAAATGGAAGATCTGGAAGAATTAAGATTTTATTTCTGAGGCTTCTGTACGTACATTACTATCAAACATTTATTGAACTTTACTAAGATTTCATTTTTTTTTTCTACTAAAAAATTCAAAAACTGATTAACATATCAAGAAATGAGAAGCTTGATACCAAAAGTGTTCATCCCCACTTAAACCAAAAATTTCCAATAAGTTTGGTAGTACTCCACTTTTATAACAATTTTTTTCTTCTGTAGAACGAACTGATCATGTTTGAAAAATCAGTATTTACTGTCACTTTGTAAACAAAAGTGGATATGGAGATTTCCACTTTCGATAGCAAACTCTTCAAATGTTAAGATGATGGACCTAAAAGTCAGAACAAATAAAAAGAGAATAAAAAAAAAAAAAAAATGACAAGATTTCTTATGTTTAATAAGTCAAAAGCCTGTAAATCCGCCTTAATGTTAAAAATCAATTTTTATAACGGCCTAAATTCATACTTTCAACAATTTGTGCTTCAAAGATGGCCAGTTCAGTTGAATCTTTTGTCACAGCAATGACGTTTCTTCTGTAAGAGCTGTAAAATTTAAAATAATTACCTTATATTGATAATTTATTATCTGAATCGTTTATATATCCAAAGTGAATCCAAATCACCGTTTAGAATTTTTAGGAAACTAACAGTAAAAACTATATTTTCTGCTTGGAATTATAATTTTTAAACCAATATTATTAAAAACAAAAACAAATTAAGGAACTATTTATTTGTAGCATATATTTCCAAAAATCATTGAACATTTTAATAGTAATTATAAGGTATAAAAACTTGAATATGGCCACGGTTGGAACAAATTAAACTTCAAGATGGCATTTGGTTTGGAGAAAAGAAATGGAAACAAAATAAATATATTTTTAATATGGTAAAAATGCTTCCAATCAATTATTACTTTAAAAAATACATAAAAAATGCAAATATCATTTCTCTTGAAAAAATGGCTGGTTATTGAAATAAACTTGTTTCCACAACACTTTTTTTAAATAAATAAGGTGCACCATCGGATTTATTGGGTGTTTTTATACAGGAATCGATACTTTATCTTGATTTAAAAAAAAATCGATTTGGGTTCACTTTGGAAATAAGTGACGCATTTATAAAATTAAACTTTTCTTTTTTTATATTTGAATTAATGTTGTTGACTTTTACACAGAAATATTTTTTTATTCATGTATTCGCTCTAATTAAAACTTAGTACTTTATATTTATTTTCCTCTTACACTGGGCAACAAAAAACAAATTTTTGAATGTTTCCAGCACTTCATGAGTCAATTCTTACTAATTTTGGGTTGAGAAAAACGAATATGACAATGAACAATTGTTCTTTGATCTAGTTTCTGTGATATTCACTAGGCGGAAGTATTTAATATTAACGGATTAAGAGGAAAAGATTTTAATTATATATGCTAACAACATTGAAAGTGCATTTGATTTTTCATAATGGTAGTTATGTTCTAAGTGTTCTAAATTGGTAGAAGAATACCTTGCAGATGGCCGTATCTGAAGAGATTATGTGGTGGCTTCATGAGATCGTCGTTTTTTAGCTTGCCGCTAGTAATGGAGTTCCGGAGCATTCCTAACATCACTTTCGAGAAGATTCCATTGCTGTAGTCGAGGCCCAAGAATTTCTGCCTTCTTCTTTGATAGGCCAAGTTCTCTAATGAGATCACTCAATTCCGCTTTGATTCAGTCTGTGCGGTTTCTCATTTTTCCCACTCTGGTCATGGGATGTGGAAAGTTTATTTGGTCCTTCTTCTTGTTTCACACTGTCTTCATTTTCTACTTCAAACATACAATTTTCGGGTGGAGTGGAAACTGGAAAACTATCTGAATGCAGAAAGGGTCGAATAGCAGATCGAAGATTCTGGTACTGAACTGTTCTTCTTTTCTTCATAAACAATCCTGGCTTTATAGATGGAGTCAAGCAGAAATAGCAATCATCTGTATGGTCTGGAGGCTCAATGTAGGTACAGCAAAAGCCATAGATCGTTTCTACTTTCTCATCCATTTTCGTTGTGTAACTGAACATGAGATGCAACTTATATGTGGAGCCCAAGACTTATCCTAGTCCGCTACTTTCATACCGAAATAATGGTGTTAGGCAGTCTTTACAAGAGGCGTCAGATTGAGTTTCTGTAAGGAAAATGTTATTTCACCACAAATATAACAAAAATTATTCACCATATTTACACATTTTCGTGGCATTTTGATGAATTTTACACTAAACAAGCACTCTCAAACCAGAAATTCTGCATTAATTACCGCAGAAACTATTTGAAACTCACAGTCACAGCAACAGTAACTATGTTTATAACTTACAAACAGCTGAAGAGCATTTGTGTGCATCAACTCGCAAAAAAATTCCCCCAAAATTGAAAATGTTGACTTTAAAAAATGAAATGTCACCTTATCTCCAAAGCAATCTGTCATTTTTATGGTGATTTTTGAATTCAGCAGATGGAAATAAATATGAATTGACTACTTTTGAGCTCGAAACATTTTCATTGTTGCCCAGTGTTATTTGAAATAATATGAAAAAAAACAAAAAACATTATGAACGGCATGCATTAGATTTATTTACAAATTATAAAATGTTCAATTTTTTCTCTCTTTATTTTCAATATTTATTTATATCATGATATGTTGTTAAGACCAGAACCAGTCTACAGAAGATAAAATAAAATTATGTAAAACTTAATAAAAATAAACCCAAGATTAGTGTCTAGTTCAAATCCTGAATATTGTATTTAGTATTTGTATATACAAGTGAAGGAGCGCGGCAGCTTAGAGAGTAAAGCACTGAGCTCCAATGCTCAAGATCCAGAGTTTGAGTCCGGTTGTGGCAAGTAACACAACAGAACAAATATTAAACTAACTTAAATCAGTCATGGATTGATCCTCAGATCAAGGAGAACCTCCTGGATCATTCTCAGCCTGTATAGTGGGTATTCTTAATTAATTAATTAATTAAGGGGGGAAACTTGGTGGTTGAGCATGTTCTTGGACCAATCACCTCTCTATATAACTGTAGGTTTTGAGTACCTTCCTTACAAAGTAATGAACCCAAGATCATCCATGGATCGTAGTGTAAATTTTTTTTTTTTATCATTAAATCTGTTAAACTATGATTTAAGATAAAGAATCTTAACATAAAATTCAAGAAATTTAATATTAAATATTGAACACTTTTAAAAGAAGAGTTCAAAATAAAGTATCCATAACTATACTAATTTTTCAAGATAGCGGAAGATAGAAAAGAGAAAGAAATAATTAGAGATATTTATTAAATAAATATTGAAATACAGTTGAAATATTTATTGAAACTAAAATGTTTTAAAGTTTTAGAGAAAGGATGCTGTTGAAATTTCTGAGTTAATATTATCAAATAAACTACCATCCAAGATATATATGTATTTTACATATACAAATCCAAAACCAGTCTATATACACATAATGAAAGGGAAAAATATATGTACAATGTACCAAAGTGGCGAAGACAACTGAAAATTTAAGATGTGCTGGAAGACGAGGATGGGTGTTTTTTCGAGACACGCCTGATAAGTTTTCTGAAGGAAGAGGTCCAGCGAGTCGCCCTTGTGAAGGACTTTGCCGGACTAGGCTCACAGAGTTCTGAACTGAAGCCCGAATCGGAACTGAATGCGTGGTGAGCTCCGGATCCGTCGGACACTACCGTCGGAGCATAATGGCCGTCCTCGTCACCAGAGGAACTGTCTTCATCAATGTAAGAGATGTTACTGTGCGGTGTGAGCCGTGCGGACAGTTCTGGAGTCCAACTGTCGAGAGCGTGCTGAGAGTCTTTTGTACATCTTTTTTCTAGTGCGCTAACGAGTCTTCCTTCCGCTCTGTCAGTACTACCACTGTGGAAGCAAGACAGTAAGTTTCCTGCTCCTCTCCTGGAAAAAATAAAATAAAAATACTTAATTATGGTATAGATATTGTCGAGAATAGAATAGTAGAGATTAATTGGGTGTGTGATCATAAATGAAATAATTTTATATTTTATTACTCATTTTTTAAGATTAACGACAGTTTAATATGAAGTTATATTAAATGGAACATACGCTGATGGGTAATCTCCAAACGTTGCTCTTGTGTAGGCACACACCGAACACTTTCTCCTGCGACAGCTCGCGAGATGTTTCATTCCCTTTTTCAGCTGGCTGTTTAAAGTTGCGCTTTGTTTAGCCACTAACTTCAAATCACTCACCTAGAAAAAAATTATGATTTGTATTCAATCACCATTTATTTATTAAAAAAAGAAAGTTAAAAGTCCAAAACGAACACTTATCTTCCTAATTGGTTTTATTAAGATTATATTTTTATTTAATTTTGTAGTAGACATCCCCTGGTATTTACTCCTTTATGTGACATTGTGTGAGGGAATAAGAAGGAATATATAATATATAGGAATGTGAGGTTGCACTGTGAATTATACTCAATTATGCAGTGGACAAATTATTTATGGAAATGTCTCATATCGATAAACAATCGTTGAAGAAGGACGCTGGAAAAAGGTCAGAGCAGGTAGCTGGCAGAAGGACGCTGAAAAGGGCACTTTAGGTTAGGAAACGGAGGCGAGAGGACACTAGGCCTGGACAGGAAGAAAGGAGGTTATCAGAAGAGAGAGATACTACATTGAAGACTAAGAATATCAAGCCTACAGTTATAAGACTTTTATACATTCATTTATTACAGTTGTTAAAATAAATTGCTTTATTATACAGGAGTGAAAAGTCATTTATTTATTTAGTTGTCCTATATGCCTAACAATTGAAGAATAACAAATCAGGTGAGTCAATTCATTTAAAGTGTATTTACTCAGTCCCACGTTTCAGATAAATATATATTGTTATTGTTTCTTCTCACTCAATGTCACAAAGGTATTAGGTTCCCGAATTCCCAACAACAGTTAAACACCCTCAAAAAGTATATCCAGTGCCGGGGTTTTGTTTTAATAATCACGAGTGTAAATAACCTAGTTCCCCGATATAAAGCGGAAGGCTATTCGCCTATTCCCGCCAAAAAAGGTCTTTAACAATTAACTTTTAACTTGTTATTTACAATTTTTTTACTTCATTACTTTAAAAACAAGTTAAGCATGTTTAAAACACCTGAAATATTAAGAGATGTCTAGAATATGAGTTATTCCATGGATAGTTGTGGAGAACAAAACAAATACATTTAATACACTGTAACTTTGGTAATTCAGATCTGATTTTGATGAATTTTTGTTAGTTTAGTTGTTAGACTATTCACACTTAAGCCCACCTTACACGGTAAATATTATTGAGCCAATATCAAATTATTGACCATCTGAGTGATATATTTTAACAATTATATTGACATGTGTACTATGTATACAATGTTCAAGAATATTGCTTCAATAATATTGACCCAGTGGGCGGGGTGGCCGAATGGCCTAACGTGTGTGCACAGCACTGCCGTTGACCGGCAACCTGATCTATGAGACAATGGATTTAAAATAGTCATGAGTTCGCGGAGGAGTCTTTTAAAATCCACGCCAACACCCCTTGGCTCGAGAAAACCCGGTATAGCCTAAAAGGCGAGGAACGGGAGGACCCTAAAATAAAAATAATATTGACCATGTAAGGTAAGGTTTAATTGTATGCCTTAAGGTCAGCTTAATAACAATAAAAAAAATTAGCTTTTGATAGTTATTTATTGTATGTTTTGGGGAATATCTGTCCCCCTTCTCAGCAATATTTTATTCTTCCAAAAAATTGGTTTTCGCAATAATATAATAAGTTTGAGCAATGGCTGATATCCAACTAAATATAAGTATATAACAATTTAAGAGAAGAATGGTTGGGGTGATAAGTAAAAAAAAAATAAATAGTAAAAATGAATAATTATATTTATTTTTATATTTGCTGACGTTTCGGCCTAAATTTCAGGCCTTCATCAGGGCTAAGAAAAAAAAAAACAGATATCAATAGGTATGAGAAACTATAAACATTGATTAATAAAGAATAAAAATTAAAAAGGTTAAAGGTATAGAATAAAAAATGTAGTTAGAATAAACTTAAAGTAAAGTAAAATAAACGTATCATGAATTTTGGGCTGAAATGTTGGCAAATATAAAAATAAATATAATTATTTATTTTTACTATTTTTTTTTTTTTTACTGAACACCCCAACCATTCTTCTTTTCAATTATTCACTATCGTCAACCATCAATCCACAATTAAGTATATAATAAGTAACTGAAAAACATCAATGAATAATAAGTTGATAAGAAAAACATCACATGAAAATGGAGGGATCCACATCGGATTGAATCATAAAATCCTTGGATACGCAGATGATATAGCTGTCCTTGGAAGTAATCAAGAGGACATTGAGAAACTCGACAGAACTCTGATAAGGAGGTAGAGCAGATCAGCAAGTAAATGAAGACAAAACAAAATATATAATAATGAGCCGAAAATTCCACCCCAATAACAGGATCTGCGTAGAAGGAAAACCATTCTTGAGAGTAGAAAAATTGAAATACCTCGACTCCACAGTAACCTTAATTTCTTGGGAGAATAAAATATTGCTGAAGAGGGGAACAGAGATTCTCCGAAACGTACAATAAATAACTATCAACAGATAATTTTTTGATTATTATTAAACTGACCTTAAAACATACTCTTAAGCGTGAATAGAAATAATAAAATTAAATTAAAACAAGCTTTGAATAGTCACCTCTTTCTCTAAACCAGCTATGTTACGGCTTGATCTTCGGCCAAATGATTTTCTCTCTATGTCCCTGAGGGCGTCCTTGAGGCGAGAATTCTAAACAAGTCAGGGCATTAATAGTAGTAGTATAGTAGTCATTTATATATGATATAATTTTGGAATGTTTGTTAAGATGACAATCATTTAGGATGAATCAATCTTATTTCTATCTTAGTAGGAATTAGTAAAAGAAAATTGATCCATATTACAAAAAAAATGTTAAATCCTGTTTAAGGTTAGGAATAGCAGTTACAAAAACCATCATACCTCCCTTTCTAACGAGTCCTTTTCTGCTACGATTGCAGTCACCTGCCGTACAACATCGTTCCTTGCACTCTCCAATCGCCTCCTTGTTGCCTCTGACTCATCAGCTTGCATCTTCAACTGCAAACAAATATTGAAATATATTCTTTAGCATTGCATAGAGAATGCTATTTCATAATTCTTGACTTTTAAGTACCATTAAAAGCTAGAAAATAAAATTGAAATAAAAATTGATTTTAAGCCTTCAAGATAAAAACCAAAACAATTAGAAAGTAATTAGATAACTTCATGGACGAACATGAGCAAATCATTATCATGAAAAAGCTATTTTCTTAATGACTGAAATAGTAATTTATCATTTGAAATTACAAATCATCATGACAAGTTATATTTGGCAATTCAGATAATTATTTTATTTATTTATGTCCCATAAGTCCATACACATTTCCTTTGATACACCTTTATCTCAAACACTGCATGTTCGATTTAGTTCTTAATTTAGTGTCTAATTATTAAGAATATATTTTTGAAATGTTGTAGGCAGTGCACATATGAGAAGGGGCAAGATTGCCCGTCCCCCCTATATTTATACTGTAGTTATTAGTGATGCGAAAAACATTATCATGAATAGCAGTTGCAACATTTTCTGCTACTTTCAGAAAACAGATATAACTGTTTCAAAATTTGGTGAGTAAAAAAAAAAAGGAAAATCTTGTCTTCTCCTACCTTTACACTGTTTTTAAAAGATATGAATATTATTTTTGTCTGCAAAGTAATTCATCGATTTAATTGTTATATATATATCATAACATATTTTAATGATAAGTAAATTTATTGATGAGAATAGTAATTAAATAAGAAAATCATAGCAGACTGAAACTACAAGAAACCGGTCAACGTTTCCGATTACTTCAGCACTTACTAGACAAACGCTCTAAACTTCCAATTAATTACAAAGGACTCATATACATGACTATAATAAGGCCTATTTGGATTTATGGAGTTGAGCTATGGAGCTCCACTAAACCATCGATTTCCCCTCGTATCCAATCCTAACAATCAAATACCCTTCGTAAAATCTTCAAAACTTCCTACTTTGTTACAAATAAAACCATCCATAATGACCTTAATGTTTCAGATCTGGCCCAATCCAGATACCTATCCTTCCATAATAAACTTCAGATTTCTAATCTTGCTTCCTCTTCAATTCCTGATAACCCTCCGAGGCGTCTGAAAAGAAGATGGCCCCATGATCTCCTAATGTAGACATATCATTAGAGTGCTACCATTGGGTAGTTACTCAAGAAGTGTTTTCATGTCATTATATCCATATGTTCAAATTTACTAAATGTATTTCTTTAATACAGTTGTAAATATCATTAAGAAGTAAAAAAAATAAATAAATAAATAAGAAAATGTTCATTGAATAGAAACTGCATAGCTGTTTTTTTAAGTTTCATCAGTGCGATGGTCTATGCTTCATTGAAATAACTTCCAAAATAGTCTGACTTATAATAGAGCTGTTTTAAGAAACAGGTTTTGGTATCTGTTTAAATTAAACAGCTTCTGTATCTGTTGCGAATTAAACAGAATCAGTGTTTCCCGTCGGTATAGCTTTCTCCACCTACTAAATCTAAAAGTGAGATGACTTAGGAAAGTTCCTTAACTCACCACTGAGTTCATCGATGGCTTCGTTTTGCTCAGTTTGGAGATCTATTCGATGCCATCGATGAGTTCAGCAGGGAATGTAAGAACCTGCCCCTTCCTAATGGAAGGTAATCCTTGTATTGAATATTTAATATTTGACTGTTGTATTATAAAGGAAGGAGATGGTCCAGGGTTGCGGCCATAAATAGGCTAAATAGTGGCAAAACTATTTTATTAAAAGCAAACGTTTCGACCCGACTTTGCAGGTCTTCTTCAGGGCTAGAACGGACTTAATTTCTACTTCTTAACTTCTACTCAAAGAGATATTTCAGTGATTGCAATTGTTGACATCTGAAACTTCTAATATTAATGTTATCGAATCTCCTCAGCTTCTTTCTTCTATCACTTAAGTGTGTGTTTTTCATAGATAAGGCTTATAAATGGTTTTTCTTGTAGATTTTTCCTCTTGAACGACAAATTATAGACATTGAAGTATAGGTAATTATGTAACCGATAGATGTGGTGAGGAAGCTATACTCTAACAATTTGTATTTTTAAACAATTCTTTGTAATATAATTGATGTAATTTCATCGCGGCGAATCAAATGGGCTTGTAAAGTTGTTGGGCTTAGTAACGAGAGAATTCCTAAAAGGTTAATATTTGCTGTGCCGAATGGTAAGCGTCCGAGGGGTAGACCGAAGCGAAGGTGGGAAGATTGCATTAAAGCCGATCTGAAGGGACTGGGTTTGGACGGCGAACGGTGGAGGGAGATGTGTAACAAGCGATTGGTGGTGTCGGCATCGAATCTTCGGGTTCGCTAAGCCTTATTATTATTATTATTAAACAATTCTTTACCACAAGTTGGCTAAAAATAAAGATAATGTACTAATGATCGAAAAGGATGACTCACCTGCCGATAGGCTTCGTTTTTTTCCTTCTCCAATCTGTCTTTGAGTTCCGCTATTTTCTCCTTCTCAGCTTTTAACTAAAAAATAAATAAATAATGATAATAATAAATAATATATATTTCATAGCAACTGACACAAGTAACATTGAGAAATTTGAACGAGAGGTCATAAGCGCAGACTTTCCATTTTGATTGGAGTGAGGGGGAGAGAGGAATGAGCATTGGACTACAAAAAATGGCAAAGTTTATATAATGTGTAAAAATTATGTATAACAATAGATATATAAAATCAACATAATTGCTGTGAAACAAAAAAAATAAAATACTGAGTCTTTAAATATATGTTTATATAGTTGTGTTTTAAAAAAATATATTTTAAGGGTATATTTGAAAATATCTGAACAAAATAATGGAATATATTACACATTTGTATAAATTAAACAGATGAGAGAGCTGCTTTCCTCCATACATTTCTAGTACCTTTCCAAGTAAAAATGAATTATGTTAAAAATTGAAAAATATTTTTGATTCCTTAAGTAGATACTATCTCAAAATAAAAATATAATGTTTTCAATGCAGGATCGATAAAAATCAATTGGTTTTTGAGTAAAATATACAAGGTGTTTCAGAGTTAAGTGAGCAAACTGAAAATATGAATGAAGGACCTCAAAAAAAAAAAAAATTCCTATGAAGGTATGTCTGCAAACGCTTTGTTTAGGAGATATTCACACCTAAAGACTTTCGTTGTTATGAATTATTTACGTTATATTTAGTAAATATAATTTATTTATTTGTTCCAACTACATTATTAATTAAATGTAAATATTAAATGTTGTTCAAAGTCATTTCCTTGAGCATTAAGACAGACTGTGCATCTTTCTTCAAGAGCAGCAGTGGCAGAATGGCACTGGATGTGTGTTGTTATGAGTACTCTGCGGAAGCCTCTTGCAAACTGATAAATGTTATTGAGAGTTCACAAACAAAGCACTTGCGGACATAACTTCAGAAGACATACCTTTTTCTTGTTTTGAGGTCCTTAGTTTATTTTTGCAGTTAGGCCACTTAACCCTGAAACACTCTGTATAGAGATGGCATTTTGGACATCATTCAAATTTGCAAATCTTTTGCCACTTGGAAAGTATTGAAACAATCCGAATAAATGGAAGCTGATGGTGTAACATGAGGTGAGTATGGTGGATGAGGCAATACCTCCCATCCCAATTCATTATTTTTTTCTTGGGTTCAACTTGTGCAGTGCAATTTTGCATTTTCTCGTTGCAGAATTAGGCCTTTCCTGCTGACAATTGTAGGCCACTTATCAATTAAAGATTGATTTACACGATCCAATTGTTCACTATAAAGGTTTATATTCACATTTTGTCCAGGTTTGTTTAACACAGCACTTCAAAATGAGTAACGCTGGGAATACTCCACCAAACACACAAAAGTGCATTTTTGGGTTTAACACCTTGGCTTAGCAGTACTTCATGGCGATTCGTTTGGAGCTAGACACTGACTTATGCGATTTGGATTATCATATAGGATCCACTTTTTATCTTCGATGATCAAGCGATCAAAAAACGCTTTTGTGTTGTGCGTTGAAGAAATAAGTTGCATTTGGTCGTTCCCCAATCTACTGCAAATGTTCTTGGATGGTCGAACAAGGTTGGTTAAGACAGACAATTCCTCTTGTCTGATACGCATTCGCTTCGTCATTCGTCCTTAACAGGCCATTGTTTAATGATGTTGGTCTTCCGGATCGACACGAGTCGGAAAAATGAAATTTACTGTATTTGAACATGAAAAATCACTTTAGACATTTGCGAACGCCTAATGCATTTGGATAGACATCGTAAATGTTTTTTGTAGCAACTGTTGAATTACTACCACAGGCGGACCTACGGGAGGAAAGGGGTGCTCTCGGGCTGAAACCGCCCCTCCCAAAATGGTAAAATATAACCATGTTTTATGAAAAAAATTATCTCTAAAAGTATTATTGTTTGTCTAATTACATTTAATAGGACTTAAAGAATCACTTAAACATAATTTCATATAGGTAGTTAGTTTCTTTCTTTCTTCCGACGTAATTATCCTAGTATACACATCCAAAAAAAACCAAAAAACATTCAGGCTGAAGCCCCCTCTCTCCAAAATTAAATTCTGGATCCGTTAGTGGTTACTACCGTTGCGAAACTCAAAAAGCATATAATGAATAGAGTGATGGAAAAAAGTATTTGCACAACACGTTTTTATGAATAAAGTAGTTCAAGGAAACAAAAAACTTCGCTTTCCTTTGCAATAATGAGAAGTACATTTATTAAAAACTGAATAAAAACACTTCATAATCAAACAAAATAATTAAAACAATAAAAGTGCTTGGAAAAAAGTATTTGCACACTTCCACATTTACAAGTTTATTTTAAATTTTAATAGTTTTAATATTTTGTAAATAGGCCATTTGCGTCAATAATTGCTTGTAGACGTCTGAGCATTGAATGCACTAGGTTTTTAATTAAATCTACGTTTATTTGTTCCCATTCTTGAACAAGAAGTTGTTTAAAGTGATGTCCACTAGTGGTATGGTGTTATCTTACATTTTGGTCAAGGGTGTGCCATAAATTGAAATTCCTGGTGACTGAGGAGGAGTGTGGAACTGTCTTGGAACATTAAATATTAACCACTCCTTTGTTCTCCTCGCAGTATGTTTTGGGTCGTTGTCCTGCTGGAAATAGTACTGATCCTGGATTCCCATTTTTTCGGCCCTAGCACGCAAATTACGTCGCATAATGTTCACATAGCCTTCTGCATTTAAAATGCACACATAGCCTTCGATGCTCACAAGATTTCCTACGCCATGGTAGGAAACACACCCCCAAACCATAACATGTCCCCAAACCATAACATGTCATCCACCATGCTTTACAGTTGTTAAAACATTTTGCTTCTTTAGGACTTCATTACGATGTCGCCATATCGTCCTTCGACAATCTGAACCAAACAAATTAAATTTGCTTTCGTCAGAAATGATGACATTTTCCCAAAAGCTTAAGGGTTTCTGTACGTACTCTCTAGCAAAAGCAAGGCGCTTTTTGCGATTCGTTTCACTGATGTATGGCTTCTTTCTTGGAGCTCTACGATAGAGCCCATCCGAATTAAGGGTATATCTAATTGTTCTGCTAGTAATTTGAACTCCAGAAGTTATCAGAGGATTTTTAAGAGCTTCTTTTCTGATTTTCCTCTGTACGTTTCATTTTTGCAAAGGAAAACGAAGTTTTTTGGTTCCTTGAACTCATTTATTCATAAAAACATGATGTGCAAATACTTTTTTCCATCACTGTATGTACCATTACTTTCCGGTCCCCCTAATATTTATAAATCTCAAATTAAGATTGTACAATGCTATCATAAATCTAGCTGTTATATACGACAATGAGACCTAGACACTATCTAAAAACAGAACGAAAGAAGTATTCCTTATACATGTTTTTCCTCTCCTCAGTCAAACTAATCTTGTAATCCCAGATCCCTATAAAATATCAAATAGGTCAGTTTTCTCTTCTCATGTATAGTTTCGTACGTCTTTTAGATTTTGAGCAACGCAGTTCACACACACACATAGGCCATTTTGCGGGACTTGTTTATTTGGACTCAGGAGATCTCAAAAAGTATTTCCGTTGACAACCCAGATTCGAAATTTTTCACGATCGCAATACTTTCCCTTACTATATATTACATATACAGGTTAGTGAAAGTAAAAAAAAATATTAAAAGATTTCAGAGGAAATTTCTCCTAATGATGAATGAAGTGTTCTGGGATCACTAATCCTGAGTGAGCTAATATAGTGAGCCTAGGGAGCCAAGGCCCAAAAATCGACCTGATCGCAGGCGAAGGTTTGATTGCAAATTGCGAAAGTGTATGTTATTCTGAGTAAAGAGAACCTTGTCTGCCGTTCCAGAGCCGCTGCTTTAAAAAATGGCGGCTGATTTAAAGAATATTAGGCCAATAATTTGAGGATCGAAACGGGAAATCCATTACGAAATATGTGAGAAAAGTTTTTATTTTTAAAACATGTGTAAAAGGATTTAGACATGTAAAAAACAAAATTACAAATGGGGGCCACCAAGGGAGAACTTTGTTAAAAACTGAGACAAATTACTAAAAATGGCCCTATAACTTGGAAATGAGTTCCCTTACAGGAAAAATAAATTCTATCAGCATCAAATTTTGCGTAAATTGAGTACTGACATTTTTATTATAGGCCAATTATATGTCTCGAATCGGGATTCCTTTTTCCTTTATAAAATTCGGTATCTTTCGATACATTGTTTACCAAAATCATTTGCTGCTGAGAGGTGGAAAAGAGGCTTATATTGCATATAACAGATTCTAAACAAAAATAACTCAGTTGAATAGACACACATACTGTTGAAATATTGAAAATCAATTTTATCTAACCATTGGGAAATTACCGATTTTGTTAGCAATAAGTGATCTACGTTTAATTAATTGGTACTCAGTTTAGGAAATATTTGATGTTCTACAACTTTGATTCTGTTGGTTTTTCCTCATAGGGAATACATTTCCAAGTTACAGGGCCATTTATAGTAATTTGTCCAAATTTTTGACAAATTTTGTATCAATCAGCTTTGGTTGACCGTGGCTTTATACCTTACAACGTAACCAAATTATAATGTTTATGAACTCGTTCGACGCACAATTGAAGGTTCTCCAATTTATTAACGAGTACATTTTTCGTTTTGATGCATTGTTTAGGAGTTATAGGTGAAAACACAAACAAATATCGAAAACATCTGACTTTTTTGGCTGTAAAAAGTTTTCCCTTGATGGTTCGCCTTAGCAATTTTGTTTTTTGCATACTTAAACCCATATATACATGTTAAAAAAATAAAAACTTTTCTCACGTTTTTAGCAATGTATTTCCCGTTTCGATCCACAAATTATTGGCCTAATATTCTTTAAATCAGCAGCCATTTTTTAAAGCAGCGGCTGTAGTACGGCAGACAAGGTTCTTTTTACTCAGAACAACATACACTTTCGTAATTTACAATCAAACCTTCGCCTGCGATCAGGTCGATTTTTGGGCCCTGGCTCCAGGGCTATAAGGCTTATGGAAGAGAAAGACCAGTAAAGGACTGCTTACAGAAAATGATCAGTCAATAACTCATGATATAAAGGCAAAGAGGTAAATATGCGCGGGGTAATCAGGGAACTTTAACACAACAATGAATAACTCTATAGTAGGCAAAAGACCACTTGAAAGGTCAAAAACCAGGTTGATTGATCGAATCAACAAAGAAGTAATAGAGTTGTATGCAGATTACTGGAAAGAAATAGACCAAGACAGGCCGTGACGTAGGTGGCTGATTAAGGTGGCCGAGAACAAGGCTTTAAAAGCGAAAAATAAAATTAAGTAAGATGTGGCATTTCTTTCTTCTCCTGGCCTATAAATATCTCCCACACTTTCTTAAATGTAGATCATAACATAATTGTCTTCTAATTCAGATAATGTAAGTAGCCCACATATAGTGACGAAAGCCGAACTTAAATCTCAGGCTAGTTTACACAACCGGGACTGTTTCGTTAATAGCTATGTAGTTCGCACAGAACAGTTGGTTAATCTGATCGGGAAAATAATTAAACCAACAATTAACTGTAGAACGGACAAACCAAATTGGCGTGCGAACGCTTCAAACCTACGATTGCTTGGGCACTGGTGAGCGCCATCGCGGTGTCTTCGTAACTTGGAGTGACGTAACCTCATCACCATGGTTACCGAATAGGTTATGGCCAATTAGGATGTCATCAATACAGGAGTAGATCTGATATTTCCGACACAGTGATCTTGTAAATCATTTTACTTTCTTGCAAATATTAGTTAACCGTATTATTGCGGTATTTCTAAAGGAACTTCCAAAACAGAAAATGTGGAACAGACAACAGCAAGTGTAATGTATATAAACTACAATTTATCTAATTCTACTTTTGCTTGTACGGTTTTTATGATGAGGAAAGCAATGAAATTTAAATTTCTTGGGAGAGGAACCATTTACGATAGGATGATACAGGTGCTTGGCTATAGGGATGATTTGGACATAGTAGCTAGGTCTTTGAAAGCTTTAAAATATGTTTTTTTTTAATATACTGGAAGAAACTGCAGATATGTGGGTAGCTATCAAACAGAGAAAAACTAAATATATGAAAGCTTGCCCTGTCAAAATTTAACCGTTTACATTCGAAAGTGTTGACCAATTTAACGTATTTGGGGTCAATAGTTAGCTCTTCAAATGCCATATCTCTTGAGACCGGCCAACAAATACGAAAGGCCAATTTCTGCTATTTTGGCCTGAGAAAACTCCTTAGCCAACTTTATAAAACACTAATATGACCGGTACAAAAACGTAGGCTACAAAAACGTGAACTCTGAGTAGTTCAGAAGAGAAAGAACATCTTATCTTTGAAAGATCGATTTTGCGCCATATTTTCAGATCCATTCATGAACAGAACCTGTGGAAGAGGAGCTGTATTAGAGCTATATGAACTCTTTGGGGGAGTGGACGTCGTTTGTTTTATAAAGTGTGGTCGATTGAGATGGGTCGGCCACTTAACAAGGATGAAAGCGGAAGAAATCCCCAAGAAACTGCTATCGGGAAAAAAGGACCGGTCGAGATGAAGAAGGCCAAAGCTAAGATTGGAGAGCGGCTGCACAGGATCGAGCCAGGGTCCACATCGGGCTGTGGTGCCATTGAAATGAATCAATGGGAGAGAAAAATGCGCTATCGACTTTGAGGGGGATTCCGGTGTAACAATTATACAATCATAAACCAATATAATTATACTAATTATTTTAAATTATATCAAATTAAATTTTTAAAAAACAACTGACTAGACGATACAAACAACTCGTACATCTTTTGGACAACTACATGAACATACCAAAAGTCCTACATACATAACAAATACACAACATTCCACTCTTCTACTCTCAATCATCCAAACCCACTCGTCCTGTCTCTTTCTTCCTCCCTGTTACCTGGCGAGAATCGAAGAAGACTAAAAAGGCAGTGGCCTAAAGATGTCTTGCTCACAATGTAAATAAATATAAAGAAAAAAAAGAATAGAGAGCAAAAGGCAACACATTTCCTCGATGCGTTACAACGCAGTGGCAAATATAAGATATTTTTTTTTAAATTATGCCTCTCTTTATCGGCTTCCGCTATCTTGCAAGCCCAGCACCATTCCGATTTGGACGACGTGGTATCTGTTATGTTCAATAAGCGAATACACCTAAATGCGCTGCGTCCATGAGTGCATCCGAATTACATAGGTTACAACGTGGAGAGTCTGCACTCCTATTCTATGCAGGTGCTTCCGAAGATAGTCGTGGGCTGTTGTCATCTGGAACTCTGCCACAACTTCTTTTCTCGACACTGTTCATGGGAACTCGATTCGCTTCATTAAGCATTTATTTTAGCTTCATTTTATCCATTGCTTCCCAACAATACCGCTCTTTATGGATTCGAGTAGTAGAGCCTCATTTGCCTTATTTATTTATTTTCTGACTCTATAAAACGATATTAGATTTTCTAGCTAGTTCAATGTCGTGGCTCCCTTGGCGAGTTTATAAGCCATTTCGTTGTCATGGAGATCAAAGTGACTTGGTATCCATTGAAAGAATACTTCTGTTTCTAGAAGAAGTAGTTCCTCTATGATCTTTTGAAATTTCAGAATACTATGAGGAAAGGAGTCATTGGGCCCTGACACAGCGAGAATAGCCACCTTTGAATCCCAAAACAACACGATATTTCTGGCATCTAAGACAAGGCTTGCAGTGCCAATAAAATTACTTTGATTTCGCTGTCAAAATTTGAGACCCATTTCCCAACAGGTTTGGGTAGTTACAAACAATTGTAACTATTCATCTGCATCGGTGTACACATGAATCCACGGAGGGATGGGATAACGTTCAGCAATCGTTTCAAGAGCCAAGGATCTTAGCTCTTCTTGTATAACCTCTTCTTTTAATAAGGTTGGGGTTATATGAAGCAATTTTTACAGACAACTGAGGTGGTATTAGAGAAAGTGGTTCTCTTTGAGCGGGAGGCAAGTTTATTATAGCTTTAAGTTGTTGAGCTTTCTCTACAAAGATAACTTATATTTTAAGTCTTTTTAATGATGACAAATATAATACAAAATATTATATTATTCGGAGAATGGTGCGAGAGGAAAAAGTTATCAATGGTCGCTTCAAAGACTCATACAATTGTCATGAAAGGGGAAACTGATAGGGCACACACACCCTATTATCATAACGATTCAAGGATCGAGAATACGTCCAAGTGAGGAGGTCACTTATTTAGGCGTAAAATTTGGGAAAAAATTCAACGTTACCCCTCACTTGGACTATCTTAAAAACAGGGTGGCTCTATCTTTGAACGGTCTCAGTCGGGTTGGGGGCGCTTTCTGGGGCCTCAGATACCCAGCAACCTTAACAATTTATAAGGGAGTGATTCTGGGTATAATGAGGTATGCGTCTCCCGCCTGGAACCAGAACCTCTCGCACCGACAGAAGAGTAAGTTGGCGACAATACAGCGAACGGCATTGCTGCGGGTCACCAGGTCGTATCGAAGCGTATCCCATGAGGCGGTGGAGGTATTAGCAGAAGGGGTACCTCTCGACCTTCTCCTGCGAGAAGATATGATGAAGCACATGTTTAAGAAAAACGGCTCAGCAGGTCTACCGGAACATCTTAAGGTGAGAATTGACGAGAATTCTTGCAAATGGAAAAACATTATACGGGACGACACATTAGAGGAATGGAACCGGCGGTGGGTGATAACCCCCAAAGGATCTACCTTGAGGAAATACTTCCCCACCGTCCGGTCACGTTTAGAAGCAAGGTGGATCGTCCCGGACTATTGGCTCTCGCAATTTCTCACAGGCCATGGGGGCTTTCGAGCAAAGCTTCATTGCCATGGGATGGACATCGACCCCCTATACCCTAGCTGCGGTGTTCCGGAGACTGCTGAGCACATCATAGTAGACTGCACCGCCTTTGAAGAACTAAGGGCTAAGTTACTGAGGGAAACCGGTCTCTACATTCTCACAGAGAACGATTTTCCTTAGTTAGTCACTGCGGAAAACTACCCGTACTACAAAGATTTTGTGTACGGGTGGAAAGTCGCGGTGGGGCCAGTCCATTTTAATTTAAGAAGAGGAGGAAGAGGTACTATACCATTGGCGGGAAACGGATGAGAAAAGCAACCATGAAGAAAGAGCAGAAGAACAAGATTCATTTGCAGTAGTGAGGTGTTAAGCTGACCTGCCTAACATCTTACTATTGCAGACACCCGTATTGCCTACTAGCTACGGCAGGGTCGATAAATAAATAAATAATACAAAATATAATAAATAAAATATATTTACCTTCTCACAGTCTTCCTCGAGCCTGATGGCCTTTTCCAATTGGAGGAAGAGCTCGTCCTCTTTGTCGTGCATGTCCGAGTCCTTCTTCTCCAGCCTCCTCTCCAGCTCCTCGTTCAGTCGGCCCAGGGAGTCCCTCTCCGCCTAGCGACAAAATGGTGGATTTCAAAAACAAGGCAAAAGTAAAGCTTTTTCTATAAATGTCAAGTTGACTTTCTCTGTAGTAAAACAGCAGGTGCATGCAAATGGAATATGTTGTTACACTCTTCTTCTCACTTTAATTATACAATTAACAATACGAATTTATTATATTTTTACAATCGAGACCATATATGATAGTGTGTTTTCATTTCATTTTCACTTAGTAAAATCCGACATTATCCACTTAAATTAATGTGACAACTTTGGAAAATAACAGTTTAACAACTTATAGTTCTACAATCGATAATCATTTATAGGTTAAATATTCAGATGTACTTTCAAATCTCTCTAGGCATATATGAGCCTTTCTGTTGACAGAATGACTAACCCCAATTGAACATTCCTTTATTATAAATTTTAGTGATGTTTCTAGTTGGAAAATTTATACCTTTATTCACAGTTCTATATTTTAACACTGCAATCACCTACTCTGGAATCAACTTACTCACTGTCTGTACAGATATTACTTTTCCAATTAAAAATATTACTAAAATAACATTACTCAAAAATTATGTAATTGGAGTTAGTCATTCTGTCAACTGAAAGGTTCAGAGACTGAAGTTGTGCGGTTTAAAAAAGCAGATGCAGTAACTAGATTTTGAGCTTTAGCTCCGTTTAAAATGCACTTGAAAAATTTTATAATACCCCAACATTGTCAGAAAATATTTTCTATTCAAAGCAGAGCGATAAGTGAAAGTTGTATGTTGCACGCACCAGATTTTTAGATAATACAGTTGTAAATTTCAATATATATATATTATTCAATATATATATATATATATATATATATATATATATATATATATATATATATATATACAGGATGTTTCTGGCTTAAGTGGCCAAACTGCAAAAATCTACTAAAGACCTCAAAACAAGAAAAACATTTCCTCTGAAGGTATGTTCGCAAACGGTTTATTTAGGAGATATTCACACCTAAATATTTTCGTTGTTATTAATTATTTGCGTGATATTAAGTAAATAAAACTTATTTATTTGTTCCAACTACTTCATTAATTGAACGTAAACATTAAATTCATATTAAATGTGGTTCCAAGAGATTTCCTTGAGCATTAAGACATGCTCGGCATCTTTCTTAAACAGCAGCAGTGGCAGAACGGCACTGGATATGTGTTATTGTTTCACAAGATTCAATTATCCTTCTTTGTAAAGAATTAAGGTAATTGACCGGACTTGCATAGACTTTTTGTTTAATGTCACCCCAACAAAAAAATTCAGTGGTGTCAGGTCTGGAGAGCGTGCAGGCCAAGCCACTGGTCCTGCACGGCCAACCCATTCATTATATATATATATATAAAAATGAATGTATGTCTGTATGTCCGTCTGTTTGTCCTCAGTGCATTACTAAACCATTCAACTGATCGCCATGAAACTTTGGGAAGTTGTTCCGTACACTCCTGGGAAGGTTTCTGGCACAGTGCTTCTGTCTTACGATAATTTTATATAGGTAAAAAAAAATAAAAATGTAAATGTTTTTCTGTTCAAAGCCGCAAAAAATGTGTTGCTATAAACTGTAGTGCCAAAACGGCTTTACCGATTTTAACGAAACTTGGCTAAAGTCTTCCCCTTGTAACCTTTTAATTTATGTGTATAACATACTTTCCCGAAAACAAGCTGAAAAATTTTACGATGAATTCAATATTTTATTTGACGATAACTGATAATACCCACATTTATTTGAAAGATTCCTGATTTGCCGTCAAAATAAAAAAAAAATCATCTCAATAGAGTTATTGAGTTTTAAACATTTACTGCTTTCTCTTCGGAAAAGGCCGTTTCCTTTTCCTTCCTCACTACCGAACGTCGGCAAGTAATTTTTTTTTTTTTTTTGTTTGTTTTATTGATTAATCGAAAATTTTATAATTACTACAATAATTGAAATTATCATTTGAAGAATTTATATGATTCTCCTTATGTGGGTCAATACTATTATACGTTTTTTAAATTAATTTTTTAATTTAGTTTTATAAGTTCAACTCAGACTGTTTCTGATGATTATGAATGACGGCGTATTTACTCAGATGATTATGAATGTCCAATTTGAATCATGAAAAAAAAAAACAATTAGAATTAGTTTCAATTGAAGCCATTTTACAGACAAATTTGTTTCCCAACTTTTTAAAAATGAGAGATGTCCTTTGCTACTAATCTACTCATATGCGCTTTCCATTTTCTTTCTTTTTCATTTTGCCAGGCTAAGCCACAGCAGCGCGTGACTGGGTAAAGCTATATATAATATTACAATGTTTTTTTTGTTTTTTATAATTTAACCTTTATATATTATTATAAACTTTATATAAATTATAGTTGAATAATAGGTCATGGAATTTTTAAGCAATTTTGAATATATTTTTTTGCAGTATCACTTCCGTATTGCTGTTTGTTATCTTGAAAGATGCCCATATCTTTATATCAATAAAAACAAAATTGTAACCAATAACAGGTCAGTAGTAATAAATACAATTAATTTCCCAATTATATAATAGTACAATGTTTCTTTTTTTTTTTTCTAATTAGCCCTGTATATATTATAACTTAAGATATGAATTATAGTTGGACAATAGGTCATGAAATTTCATGACTACTATAATTATAACTATAATTCATATCTTAAATTATAATATATATATATATATATATATATATATATATATATATATATATATATATATATATATATATCTTTTATTTCTAGGTTTAAAATTGAACTCTGTGTTCTCAATATAATATAGTCTAGCAGTTTGGGAACTTTGAATTGTCAGGAATAAGCTTATAAATGTTCTTGGTGCTATCTACAATGTGTGGTGGAAACATATTGTATTTTCTACATTTTAGAAGAAATACCCTTTGCGGTTCCAAATGTGACAGCTTTTTTATTAATTTCGAATACTCTTTTGCTGTTTTGCTAATATCATTCCCGTTTTTATATTTTACCTCCTGAAAGATGCCCATGTTTTTTTTTTATATAACAATTAAAACTATAAAATAGTAACAAGAAATTAGGAAATTAATTCCCTTTATGGACCCCTTATTCCTGACAATTCAAAGTTCACAAAACTGCTAGAGAATATATAGATATATATATATATATATATATATATATATATATATATACATATATATAATTTTATTTTTTTTAAACTTATTTAGTGAGAAATATTACAATCTGTCACAATCAAATACATTTATAATAGTATTCAGAGAGCACTCTATTTACGATAAATAAAAATAAAAAATACAGAAAAATAATAATATTAATAGTAAATCTATATAAACAAAAGAACTAAACTAATCAAAATAAAAACTTAAAAACGAGCATACTTAATAAATATATTAAAAGAAAAAAAAATAATTTGATTTAGTAAAAGCATTCCAAATTCACCCCACTCTACCTCAGTATATCATCGATTTGGTACTGATTAAGTACTCGTTCAGTTGTGGTACGTTCCATATCTATACCAACAACTTTACACGCCCTTTCCAGTCGCTGCGATTATAAAAATTACAATGATACATGACCTCGTAAATTACACGGTACAAACCACTCCTAAGGTCACACCCGAAGAGAAAGACCATGAATGAGGAATGATTCAAACATATCGTCGATCTGTAACCTAGACCTAATATGATTAAACTTGCTACTAATTAATAATAATAAAAAAATCTGATGCGGTACGCGCATTACACAACTTTCACTTACCACCCTCTTCTTATAAGAAATCAGTATTTTCAGACAAAGGGGATAGTCCGTGGTACAGACCCCTTTTTATCGAATTATTAACATCCGCCTGAAACTTCGTAAATAGTTTCATCTCATCGTAATCTACAACTATTTTATTTATGAAAATTCTTGGAATTGGGGCGTTTTCAGTCTGGAGGGAGGAAAACTTTGTCTATTTAATTAACATACTAAAAATTCGCAGTACTAAAAACCTTAAAAAATATTGAGCCGTTTGGCGTCACCAACACTCCGAAATGTAAGAAATAAGGAGGTTATATAGGACAAACGGCCCAATATTTTTGTAGGCCACATTTTTTCTCGGTTTCGTGATCAACTTATCTTACGATCCAAGTGGAAAGCAAATGGGTACATATCAGTTTTTAGCACCTAATTTAATAGACAAAGTTTGCCCCTCCTCCAGATTGAAAACGCCTCAATTCCAAGAGTTTTCGTAAATAAAATGTTTGTAGGTTAAGATGAGATGAAGCTATTTAATCTGTAAAATGAGAAAAACATATAACTGATTGTCTTAAACGAATCCAAATGGATAATATATTGCAAAAACTAAAATACGCTTTTGGTAAAATGGACCAATTAAATTTATGAAATCACCATTCATATTAGTATCTAGTCCTTAAAATTCTTAAATACGAGTTGTTTTGAAATAAAAAATATAAATGTTTGGACTTCCCCATGCAGTTTACTTAGGTCCAGTTGCTCCAACTTATTTAAGCTTAGATTAAACGTTATCTAAGACTAAACCAAGTTTAATTTTTATCTGTCGACCTTATAAAACTTGGTTTATCTTAGATAACGCTTAATCTAAGCTTAACTGAGTTGGAGCAATTGGCCCTTTAGCATTCATAGATATTCAGAATTGTCTTTTAATTCAACGTTACTACAAGCATTGGAAAGCTTAATTATTGCTCTTCCAAAAATATTGTACGCTTTTATAAGGAATAAATAATAATAATAATAATAATAATAATAAGGCTTAGCGAACCCGAAGGTTCGATGCCGACACCACCAATCGCTTGTTACACACCTCCCTCCACCGTTCGCCGTCCAAACCCAGTCCCTTCAGATCGGCTTTAATGCAATCTTCCCATCTTCGCTTCGGTCTACCCCTCGGACGCTTACCATTCGGCACAGCAAATATTAACCTTTTAGGAATTCTCTCGTTACTGAGCCCAACAACTTT